TTAATTAAGACATCCAAAATGGGTAGTTTGCCATCTTTTTCGACCTCCATGGTAAATCTGATGGCTGGGTGTATGGAATTGATGTGGTCGCGGAATTGGTCTAGAGCAGGCTGGCCATGTGGCCAGATGACAAAGGTGTCATCAACGTACCTCTTCCATAAGGTCGGGCGTAGAGTGGCAGTCTGGATGGCGTCAGTTTCAAATTTTTCCATGGATACGTTGGCTACAACCGGAGATAGGGGGGAGCCCATTGGGATGCCCACAGCTTAAAGGCCGTATCTGAACGTGGCTCTTTCACTCCAGCGCTGTCCTACCAGACAGTCTCGCCCCCCTTCACCTGATGAAGGCCGCTTGTGTTGTGGACGAAACGTCGTGAGAATATTATTGTGTTATTTTATTTTATCAATTTATTATTTTATTCTCATTCTACGTGACTTTACCGAAAGAACCAAAGAAGATGAATCATTGCAGTCACGAAAGCTTTACATCGAAATTTCACCGCCTCTACGGGGAGGGATTCCACTCATCCTTAAGATCATTCAACAGAATCCGGGATAAGAAGGCTCAACTAATCGAGTCTCTCACCTTTCTGAAGAGATGCCGCGACTCTAAGGTAATACCAACCGCATTTACACTAACCTCTGCTGTTGCAACTTCTCTCAATGCAAAACGAATTCTAGCTAGAACTAGCTTCGCTCTTATCTCGGAAAAAATCAGACTTACACGCACCGAACTCGATCAGTCAGACAAGACACTCTACAAATCACACGTATAATTGACAGCAACAATGTCTACATCGGATTGGGAACATGTAGACAATATGACTACCTCTTCGGCTGCCACTATGTCGACCAAATGTAGGGACAATTTGATTTCCAAATTCAATCACCTCTCCAGCAAAAAATCGGATCCACACACCGAAAAGATAGATGTCAACGAAGTCGTAATTATTCGCAGTAACAGTTCCATTTCTGATGGTCTGAAATCCATTTTAGCTAAAGGTCTAAACTTTGCTGTCACACCGAGACACTTACCGGTTAATGATATCATTGCCCATGTCGACGTATGCACTCAAGGGCTTGAGTCACATCTCTGCAGACGTAGCAAGATCTGAAATCGCTGCAACCCTCAAAAACGCTAAGTTGCCACCCAGCAACATCAGCAAAGACGAACGTTTTGAATGATCTCAATTAAAAAAGAGGGATGATATTGTCATCCTCTCAGCCGACAAGGGCAATGCCACTGTCATCATGGACAAAACAGAATATAACAACAAAATTCAAGAACTACTCAACGATGGCAGCTATACAAAAATAAAAAGAGATCCCACCAACAGCCTGGTCACCAAAACGAACAAAATCATCTCTGATTCAACAGCATTAATTGATGAGATCAAACAGTTCTCGTTGAAACCCTCTGCTGCCAGACCACCAAGATCATATGGCCTTCCAAAGATACACAAAGAAGATACACCCCTTCATCCCATCGTCTCTACTATCAACGCCCCCACCTACAAACTGGCACGTTTTCTTGCTGATATACTGCGACCTTTCACTGGAAAAAACACCTCTGCGGTACTAAATTCTACTCACCTGGTATAGACAATCAAAGGCATTTCCCTGTCCCCAGACGACCTGCTTGTCAGTTTTGATGTGGTGTCCTTGTTCACCAAAGTCCCGGTATCTGACATCATCACTATCATTGAAGACCTGGTTCATCAAGGACTGCATACTGATGTACCCCCCCTGGTGAGACATTGCTTAACCAACACATACTTCACCTGGAATAGAACTTTCTACAAACAAACTGAGGGAACCCCAATGGGCTCCCCCCTATCTCCGGTTGTAGCCAACGAATTCATGGAAAAATTTGAAACTGACGCCATCCAGACTGCCACTCTACGCCCGACCTTATGGAAGAGGTACGTTGATGACACCTTTGTCATCTGGCCACATGGCCAGCCTGCTCTAGACCAATTCCGCGACCACATCAATTCCATACACCCAGCCATCAGATTTACCATGGAGGTCGAAAAAGATGGCAAACCACCCTTTTTGGATGTCTTAATTAAAAGGAGACATGATAGTTCAATGAGCCACTCTGTCTACAGGAAAGCTACCCATACAGATGCTTACTTGAAACCGGATTCCCACCACCATCCATCCCAGAAGAACTCCCTCATCAAGACTCTATACCATAGAGCCCAATGCATTTCCGACCAGGAACACATTACCAGTGAACTCAAGAACGTACACCAGGCTCTCAGGACTAATGGTTACTCCGACTACACAATCCGCAAAGCCATCACTCCAGTCATGAAGAAGGATCCTCTTGTGGAGCCACTCAAAACCATCACCTTACCCTACATTGCAGGGGTCACTAAAAAGATCTCCAAAATCCTGAATAAACACAAGATCCAGGTCCAATTCAACACAGTACACAAAATCCGTGATTCAGTTCCATCTGTAAAAGATGCTGTTCCAGACATACAGTACCCGGGCGTTTACAAACTAAAGTGCCTCTGTGGTAGTAGCTACATTGGAGAAACCAAACGACATATCTCGGACCGCATCCGCGAACATAAAGCAGACTTGACACACGGTAGAACGAACTCCTCTGCCGTGGCAGATCACTGTTATAATTCAGTGGGCTCACATGACATTGACTTCTCCAAGACGGAGGTTCTTTGCAAACCAACCGGCTACCATGAGAGATTCGTTGATAAGGCCATTCACATATACAAGCACAGAGACAATTTCAACCGAGAAGATGGATTCTGGCTTAGTAACCATTGGAAAGATGTTTTAAACCATTTCTGTTCTTAATTAATTCTATTTTACGATGACCTTCAGACCGCAGCTCTTTCGCCAGCATTGACTCTTAATACCTCTCACACCACGGTTAATGGTATGGTTTACAACATGGAGTATAATAGCGCCTCGCAGCTGTCTCTCTCCCCCTCCTCTGTTCCGACCATGGATGAACTCGTCCGTCTGAACGGGGCCCGTAGCTATCCGTGTTGCTAAAGTTGAGGGTAAGAATCCACCCATTTTTTCGCCCTATAGCATTGTGATATATAACGACTTATTGTTGGTAGCTTAGCTGATTGGAGAATATAGAGTTTATTGATAACATTAAGGTAATTCATATTTTAGTTTTTTATTGGTTCACTATATAGTACTGTGAATAGCTCAGATGTGTAGGCCTTGACTTCAACATAGCCATTTCTGTGAACAGTCACTAGCTAATCACTCAGTTATTTCAATGCTAAATTCGCCTAGTTATTTCAATGCTAAATTCTCCTGTTTGATTTGTACTAAGTGCCTCGGTGAATGTGTATGCTCTGACTTTAACGTAGATATTTCTGTGAGCAGTTACAAGCTAATCACTCAGCTATTTCAATGCTAAATTCTATGCTAATTCCTTTGTCAAGGGGTACCTCTGCGGATGTGTATGCTTTAACTTAGCTATTTCAATGCTAAATTCTATGCTAATTCCTTTGTCAAGGGGTGCCTCTGCGGATGTGTATGCTTTAACTTTTAACATAGCTATTTCTGTGACCAGTCACAAGCTAATCACTCAGCCATTTCAATGCTAAATTATATGCTAATTCCTTTGTCAAGGCGCTTTGTTTCCTCTCACACAGCTTAAAGGTCGTGATCTGAACGTGGCTCTTTCACTCCAGCGCTGTCTTACCAGACAGTCTCGTCCCTTCACCTGATGAAGGCTGCTTGTGTTGTGGCCAAAACGTCGTGAGAATATTATTGTGTTATTTTATTTTTTCAATTTATTATTTTATTCTCATTCTACGTGACTTTACCGAAAGAACCAAAGAAGGAGTTAAAATGATTTGTTAAGCTATTTATTTTATCTTTGCAGGTAAGGCCCACTGAGCTATATATCTGAGCGGGCCGACACTTTCAGTTTTCCATTCACGAACGTGGGCTGCAGGGTGGAATGATGGGAGTTAGGGGACTGGTGGAACACCCTAGAGAGATACCCACAGGTGGCATGGGATGGGGGGGGGGGGTATAAGGGGTTGGCAGAAATAAAGCGGTGGGTGAGATGGGGTGCTTGAAATAATAAAGTTCCCTTAGTACAGGGGTCGGCAACCTTCGGCTCCGGAGCCACATACGGCCCTTATTTATTGCCGCATGTGGCTCTTGAAATATTGAAAAAAAAAAATTGACTGAATAAAAAAAAAATTGGCTCTTATTGCGAATTTGGTTGCCAACATCTGGTTTAGCAAGACGCCTTCTGGTGTAAACTCACGTTCATCGCCATGCCCTTTACTTTGTCCTGCAGGAAAGGAGTCTCAGGAGACGTTGTTGAAGAGAGTCCTCGTGACATTGGGATGTGTGGCCACAGACAATGATATCTTGGTGTCATGCGTGATGAAACTGGAGATCCTAGAGCGAACCACCACGAATTCGTCGTGGGGGGTTACACGGAGCCCTGCACCATCCCATAACCCCACGCCTACAACATCTGGCAAAGCCACGGAGGTCACCGGTCAAAGTGCAGTACAATCCAGGCGCCCAACCTGCTCAGCTTGTGTAATCCGACGGAGATTGGGCGCATTTTTCTAATAATTATTAGTCTTGAGGCTCACCGACTCACCGAGTCTCAAGACGCTTTGGAGGGTACTGCGAAGTTTTCGCAGTGAGGGGGAGGGGGTGATGTTGCTGCTGCTATGTGTCATCCCAGTTGCGTGATTTGTCCGTGATTTTTTATGTCCGGGATGTTTGTCATGACCGATCTCATTGTACCGCGTGTCGAGTTATTTGATAAAATTGCTGGCGCATCACGAATAAAAATAACTCCACTCTTCGTGAAATCCCTCACGTTCACAGCACAGGCGCAGCGGAGTGAGATCCTGAGATCCATTAATTTTAATTGGCTTGACCCTACGGGCGAAGCTGGCAATAGGACGTGGCGGTGGGGGGGTAAGATGATCTTTATAAGAACGGCACAAGGTGGAGACGTGGGCGAGAAAGAGAGGCGGGCGAAGGTGCGTGGGAGAGCAGGGGATACCGAGGTGACAGGTAAAATCCCACACGCAGACACACAGACAAATAGACAACAGTTTAACACGTATGCTTTCGCGACCAATATCATCCATAATATAGTTTTTTTGGGGTTTGATCGCGTAAATATGAATGTAAATATAAATGTGTCGTTAAAACCGCCACCATCAGAAATGTGCACATTGCAAATGTTGTTGGTTTGCTCTCCAACACACCGGTGTGCTGTACTAGTAACGAATTGACATGTTCTGTTTACGTGACAAACCTTACTTATTGGCTATGTCGGTTTGTGGCGGGTTGAACGACGCATTTATATTTACGCGATCTAACCCAAACAGACAACATTATTGTTGACAGACAACATTATTGACAGACAACAGCCCACCTGCCACCGCTCTCACTCCGCTCATCTTGGCGAGAGCGACCGAGATAGGTAACGACGGTGTGAGCCAATCTGCGTGGATCATAGAGTTTATCGTGGTGCTGTGGCTGTGTTTTGCCCTCCGTCTGGACAATCAACTCGGAGTTACAAACCACGAGGTCCGTGTTTGGGGTGGACACTCTTGTTCTGTCGGCGTTCCGGTCAAGGAACCAGAAGTATGACATTCCAACGCTCTGTGTTTTGAGACAATGGACCGAAGGGTAGAATAAACTCCAGAGCTACTACCACTTGAGATCCATTCAGGTCACTTGGGCCACACAGCAGAGAGGGCAGCACTCCTCCCACCTCACTCTGCGTCATGAGGGCAACGTCCATTGCCTGACACTCAAAGCAAAATTTTAATTATCAAGGCAGCAATTTAGCCAAATTAAGTGGCTGTATTTTTTGTGTGACCAGGCTAATAACATTCACTCACCGCGCTTGAAAAACTGGTTTAATCACAACTCAGTATATGTATATGTGAGTCTATAGGTTTCTATACGAGTCTATACATGGCTATGTGAGTCTGTGGGTCTCTGTGTAAGTCTATAGGTTTCTGCATGAGTATCCAGATATCTATGTGAGTCTATGGGTCTGTGTGAGTCACTCGTGACGGGGCTGAGACCATTGACTCACCACGCTTGAGAACCCGGTTTAATAACAGGCGACTGCCTGAAACCTGGATTTGAACCCGGACACCTCCTCGCCGTCACGTTTCCAGTCCATCCAACGAAGTGCACGTTGTCGTCTGAGGGTTGTCTCCATCGGTTCGTCAATTAAGATTTATTCATACGACCATGATATGACGCCGCGGTGGCGAGATGTTAACTTCCTTGCAAGAGGTCGTAACTCGGGTGCCCGTGTTCGTGGTGCAGCGTGATATTCGCTGCTCTACCATATATAACCAATACAAAGATCCCCTGTATAGCCTGAACAAGCTGTTGGGGTAAGTGCTGTTAGCGAGCACCAATGAAGGCCGACACGGTGCTTTTGTCTTCATAGTGGCGATGTTGAAACATTGCACTAGGTACCCATTTGAGGCTGAGTAGACCTATGGAGGCCCAGGACCGGTTCAAATAATCGTCACTAGTATTGGCCGTGAACGGGAATCGAATTCGTGTCGCTGGGTTCGTAGTGCAGCGCACTAGCCGCTACACTACCACTCCCAACACTACCATATATAAATATACGCAAACACTCACAAAGAGAAAAACCGTTCATATAGCTAACATGACGTGAACGGGTAAGTTCTGTTATTGAGAGCTAACAAACTGAACACAAAAACAGCTATAAAGAAATTAGTTTTAAACCTAGATGTTTTAAACGTTTATAGCTCAGGTGGCTTCTTAATATCGGAAGGCAGAGCATTCCAGATGGCCGCAGGAGCGCATCTGAAAGCGTGCAATGCCGTCAACGTCTTTGTTCAATGGCCAGCCAAAAGCCACTGCTGTGAGGATGACCGGAGTTCGCTTGATGGTTTATGCTCCTTGACGAGATCAGTGAGGTTTTGTGCCATGTGTAGAAGATATATGAATACTAATATCTTATTCTCAACCCCCAAACCCCTTCCACAGATCCGATTGCAGGAAATTGAAGAACACATCGGCACCCTCGAGAGAAAAAAACAAACATCACGATATATTGATATACAGTACATCAGTGGGAGAGAATATAGGTCGAGTGAAGATGCAATGTCATTCCACGTAACCAGTACATCACATAGGTAAACGTCTTTTGGTACGGTTGTCCATTCTCTGTGGGAACATTGTAGCGGAGGCACACCACGTGGGTAGACAGAGGATACTGGACATTTGGAGATACGCGTCTTCAGCATGTACTGTGAATAACCTGTGCGCCACCCATGGAGAACACCACGAGCACCAGCGCATCCAAATGCGTGGTCTCCTACTACGGACTCAACTGCACGAAGATGGACTTCTCCAAGAGTGAGACTGCACTGATAGTGGGAATCATGAGCTTCTTCATCGCCACCACCATTCTCAGCAACCTCCTCATCATCAGCGCCGTCGCCTTCTTCCGGCAGCTGCAGACGCGGACCAACACGCTCGCCCTGTCGCTGGCCGTGTCCGACCTCCTCGTCGGGGTGGTCATCATGCCCCTCGCCATGATCAAGTCGGTCTACAAGTGCTGGTTCTATGTGCAATGGTTCTGCAACGTGCAGTTCTTCTGCGACTACTGGTTCACGACCGCGTCAGTGCTGCACCTGAGCTGCATCGCCTACGACCGCTACGTGGCCATCTGCGACCCCCTACGCTACGCACAGCGGGTGACGCGACGCACCCTGACGTTCATGCTCCTCTTCTGCTGGATCGCCTCGGCAATTATATCGACCCCGATTCTTCTGAGCATGAGTCCCACGCTGGCGAAGGGACGGATCGAGATGGTAGGCTGCCCGAATGACTGCCGCTTTCTCATCAGTGTGGGCATCCTGTTCACCATCGGAATGGTGCCATACTTCACGTCTGTGCTGCTCATCATGCTCATGTACGGCCGCATTTATCATGTGGCTCGTAGTCAGGCACGCAAGATCGGGACGCAGAGCCACGGGCTTCCCGGGGTTTCCAGTGAGGCCACGAGTCGTTGGGCCAACATGAAACGCGAGCACAACGCAACCAAGACACTGGGCTCTATCATTGCAGCGTTCATAATTTCCTGGCTGCCATTCTATATCTTGGCCATAGTGTTCACCATGTACGAGGATATCTTTCTGCCCTACAAAATATCATTTTGGATCGGCTACATGAACTCCACGATCAACCCCATCCTGTATGCCGTGTTCAACAAGCAGTTCCGCCATGCGTTCAAGACAATGCTGAGCTTCAAGGTGTTTTCATCGACAGCCAGGGACAAGGAGATGAATTGAGGACATGTAGATGCATTGATCAAAGACTTAAGCGGCATTGGGGGTGAATTTTCTCACACAAAACTTGATTGTAAAATGTGTTTAAAAAGCGATGTGGAAGGACAGGTGGCAAATGTTCTACCATCTGCACTGTATATCAAGGTCTATATTTAATGAGAAGTGATTCAAGCACCAACTCAGAGTCGAGGACACATTGTGATCACGTTTCAGTCACAATGCTGAACGTCAGAGTAAAAACGCCTTAGGAAAAACATGTCCCATCCTTTATGAATAAGACCATCATTCCAGGCTGGCTCACATTATAAGTACTTTGGTTGTGCATCTTCGCATATCTCTCCATACCTGGACGAGATTGTGACAACTCTTGTCCGCAGTTTCAGTCCTATATTGAAGGACTTTTTGACGTGAGTATAGATTTCAAATGGCCGTCCTTGTGTCGGTACCCCTACTCCCGACTCTGGCCTTGAATGCCCCGTTTATTGTCAATGGAAGTTTTCACGCGCATTTCATGTATTGTTACTCGATCCAAAGTCGTTTTCTTTTTTACCATTAAATGAATACTCTATGCAAGTTGAAATTCATCTTAGTTATTTGAGCTCCATACCTATAGGCCTGTTTCTACCTTCCACATCCTGGTATTCTCCTGTCTCAATCTCCCCCTCTTCTTTTTCTCTTTCTCTCTCTTCTACTCATAACTGTTGCTTTGTAATTCCATAGTAGAGGTGCCATGGTTTCCCTTCGGACCTGGGCTGGGGGCTATCTCCTCAAGTTTAACTTGAATGCGCTTGCGTGGGTTCTGAAGCCTACCCAAGTGAGAATGGAGCAATGCTGCGAAAGTGCTGGGGTAGCTGCACTGGGTCGTGGTGGTGGCTTCTGCTGCAATGCAAATCTCGTCTTAATTTTTTTGTTTACAAATCATAGATCGCTGGGTCAGTTACTTGCATGTCCAATAGGTATCAGCATTATACAGACCACCAGCTCAAAAGATCCGCGCGTGTGGGAGTCGTTTAGAACCACCGACTCAAAGAGTTGAGAAAATGTGGTCATTCCCATAACAGGTAGCAGGGAAGCAGACACAGCTGCAGCTCTGTTTCGCCCTCATTGTGACTCATAAGGACAGTACAATTGTAGTGGTGTATTCACACCGACACTGTCAGCTTTTCTCCTGTTTCACTTGATTACTTCTTTACACAACGCACTCTTGCTCCAAACTCTCTCTCTCTCACTCTGCTAGCCTGTCACTTAATTCTCCAGTAGCTGGTCACTTAATACTCCACTCGCCTGTTACTGAACACTTCGCTAGCCTGTGACTGAATACTCCGCTAGCTTGTTACTTAATACTCCGCTAGCCTGTTACTGAACACTCTGATAGCCTGTCAGCCTTCTCTCACACCTCCAACCTCGTCCGTGCCCCCAGCGGGGATCAGCCAACACTTCTGGGGAGGACGAGGTGTGGAGGGCGAGGTCCCAGGCTTCTTGTCTCCAGCTCTTGTCTTCTTCGTTTCTTCAGCTCCAACCAACTTAACCCCGTGTTCTCCAAACACCGCTTTATATCCCCCACCTCATTAAGAATCCTCAGTTGTCTCCTATTAAGCCGGCGCCTCGGTGGCACCTCTTGTATGTGCTTTCTATCCCTTATCATCTCCATCTCCCGTCTCTCCTGCGCCTATTCCGTGTTGCACACTTGCACCTGCCTGTCCCCAAATGCACCCACCTATTTCCTGCTCCCTTAATTGCTGGCGCCTCTCTGGCGGCTGTTCCATGTCCTAATGCTTGCACCTGCTCGCCCTGAAATGCACCCGCTGTTTGTAAACTCCGCACGTGAATGCATTCGTTGTTTGCAACCCTGCGCGTGAATGCATCCGCTGTTTGCAACCCTGCGCGCGTTACACCACTACATCACCCCCCTGTGATGAAAAACCCAGGCATCCCAGCAGCCCTTATAAACAACCCAAGTAACACGCGAATCCGTGACACAGGTAACAACAATAGAAGATAAAGTACACAACAGTAATAACAATATGTGGGAGTGCAAAGTGCAGTATGTGCCACTGAGGATAGAACGGTGCATCGGTACATGGCGCCGTCGATCCCACATTCCTCAATGGAACGTAATTCTCAGGGAGTGGGTTCCGGCGGCCGGGCCATCCCTGTGCACATGTCCCTTCATTGACAATTGACGTGCTCGTAGCAGGTCTCCCGGCCCGGACTCAGGCGGTGGCCCGGTCGGCTTGTCCTGGGGCGTCAGTTGTCGCGATCCTGTGGGTGGAAGAGGACAATACTCCTGACGCACATCGGCTTGGAGCAGTGTGACCAACTCGTGCATGCACTGGGGTCGTCCAACATCTACAAGCTCAACCAGACCTTGCCACGGACAATGCAGTTTTGGTGACGTGCTCACTGGCACCTGAGGGCAATAAAACCATGCCCTGTCTCCTACCTGCCATGAGTCACGTGGCGGTTGTGTGCCTTGCAGCCGTTCGTTGGCCACCACCGTTGGGCCGAGTTGTGTATGGCGGCCTCTCGAGGCTCCCTTAACGAGTCGAGGGTCACTTGCATGGGAACCGGCAAAGTTGATGTCTTGCCCGGTGGACACACGCCCAATTGTACCAACGTAGGGGTTTCGGGTTACAACCATACATTAAATAAAAGGGCAAAAACCCCGTCGATGTGTGTGGGGCCAGCCTATAGGTGTCAAGGACGTTCAGGATGTGTAAGTCCCAATCAGACTGAGCCGCGTTCACCTGCTGACACAACATGGATGTGATTTCAAGGTCCGGTGTAATCGCTCAACCATTCCATCCATTTGTGGGTGGTAGAGGGAAATCCGAATCTTTTAGTGCCCAGGGAGTCACACACCTCCTTCAGTAGCTTAGAGGAAATCATTTGACCCTGGTCAGTGAGCAAATTTTCCGGGGCACCTTCATCAACCACGTACCCCTGCAGAAAGGCCTCAGTTATGGACGCCGCCGATTGGTCATCCAAAGGCCACGCCATTGGCCATCGGGTGAGATACTCAACTCCAACTAGCAAATATGTGTGACCTCTCTCGGTAACGGGAAGTGGTCCCAAAATGTCCAATGCCACCAATCGTTCACACGAGCCACTGTTATGAAATGCAGCGGCACCCTGTGTGGTTGTGTGGGTGACTTCCGACGTGCACACTCTGGACAAGCCTTAATAAACAAATACACATCATTGTTCATTTCTGGCAATAGAAATCCATCTTTAAGGTCGAGTATGTTTTTTGATACCCAAATGTATAAAAATGTGTGCACCGCGTGCGTAAGTCTGCCTCATAGGCTCGTGGCTACCACTAGACAAAACCGCTCTACATCCCATCGTAGGAGGAGCCCTTCCCTGAGCCTCAGAAAAGGGCACCACGCAGCACTTAGTTGTTGGGAGACCTGGCGCCTCAATTTCAGCAGGGAGGCATCCTCAACCTGGAGCTGTCCCCACTCTCTGTGGTTCAGCCCTAATATGTGGTTGGCTGATGCTTGCGCATCACTGGCCAGGACTGAGGCAACTGCGGCGACCATCTCAGGCGATTTCTGCAGCGGCGATCCACACCGAGCTGAGCCCATCACGCACCTACATGAGCTGGGCAGTGGCAGCCAAGACAGTGCATCTGCATTTGCATGGTGCATCTCCTTCCTATACTGGACAGTAAAGGAGAATCCCTGGAGGACTTCAATCCAACGGGCCATTTGGCCAAAAAGGTTGGTCCACATACAGGGAGAATTGGAGTGCTGCGCAGTCGATACGGACAAGGAAGTCCCAGCCGTATAAGTAAGGGCGTTACAGCTGAATGAAAGTGACCATGGCAAGCAGCTCCCTACGTGTGATGCAATACCGCTGCTACGTGGGATACAAAACGCGGCTGCCGTATGCTACAACTCTTTCTACTCTGTCGACGACCTGAGACAAGACAGCGCCTATGCCCGTATTACTGGCGTCAGTGTCCACGATAAAGGGTTTTGAGAAATATGACTAATGAGCGGTGGCGCACAGGCCAGAACATCACAAAGTGCTACAAGAGAATAATTTTCCACTTTGTCCCAATGAAATCTCCATCCCTTGGCAATAGTACAAGGCTAATCCCACGAAGCTGCAGACCTCCACCACTGATTTGGCGGTTGGCCACTTGCGCATGCAGGCCGTTTTATCCGGGTCAGTCGCGACGATATGGCCCAAATATTTGACCGAAGTTTTCAACAAATGGTATTTTTGTGGCTTAAATTTGAAGTTTGCATCATGCACCTGAGAGAAAACAGAGCGCAGCCACTGCAAGTGCTCATTGAAATTGCAACCGAAGACAATGGTGTCATAAACATAAGTAAGGCACGATTCCCATTGCAAACCAGATAGAACCAATTCTATGAGGCGCTGAAGGTGGCCGGCGGGGAGTGAAGCCCATCGGTAGACAATTAAAATTGAACAACCCCTGTGGTGTTCCGTACGCCGTTTTAGGTTTAGATTCTGCGTCCAATGTCAGTTGCCAAAATCCTGACAGCAAATCGAGGGTTGAAAAGAATTGTACACCAGAGAGAGCATCCACGGAATCGTCCATACGAGGAAGCGGGTATGCATCTGCTACGGAAATTTTGTTCAGTTTTTGGAAGTCAACGCAAATTCGAAAGGAGCCGTTACGTTTTTTAACTAATTCAATGGGCGCCCCCAAGGGCTGGTGGAGGGAGAGACAATGTCTGCAACCAACATCTCCTCCACAGTCTGACTAATAAATTCCTTTTCATGGGGGCTCATTCTGTGATAATTTAATTGAATGGGAGTCGAGTTCCCCATATTAATATGGTGCTGCAACAGGGTGGTCTGGCCTATTTCGTATTTGCCGTTGCTAAAGACGTCCTGGAATTTGTGCAAAAGTCGCCAAAGCCATGCTGGCTGCTCTGTCGATAAATCCTTGTTTTCCTCACATAACCTCTGCATCCATGTGGGTTTGACGTCACTGACAGGCTGTCTCCATCGTTTCGTCATTGGAGAATTCGACGGGTAAGTTATTTTCTCAGCTGCTTTCTTTGACATGACGGCGATGTAGGTTCTTGACCACTTCGACACCAAGTGCAGTGGTGTATTCACATAGACACTGCCAGCTTTTCTCCTGTGTCACTTTATTACTTCGCATCACGCACTGATGCTCCTGACTCTTTACACAATGCACTCTTGCTCCGAACTCTCTCTCTTTCTTCTTTGGTTCTTTCGGTAAAGTCACGTAGAATGAGAATACAATAATAAATTGATAAAATAACACAATAATATTCTCACGACGTTTCGGCCACAACACAAGCGGCCTTCATCAGGTGAAGGGACGAGACTGTCTGGTAGGACAGCGCTGGAGTGAAAGAGCCACGTTCAGATCACGGCCTTTTAAGCTGTGTTAGAGTCGCGGCATGCTGCGACTCTAAGGCGCCTTAGAGACTCTAAGGCGCCTTAGAGACTCTTAGAGTCGCGGCATGCCGCGACTCTAAGGCGCTTTGTTCCTCTCACACAGCTTAAAAGGCCGTGATCTGAACGTGGCTCTTTCACTCCAGCGCTGTCCTACCAGACAGTCTCGTCCCTTCACCTGATGAAGGCCGCTTGTGTTGTGGCCGAAACGTCGTGAGAATATTATTGTGTTATTTTATTTTATCAATTTATTATTTTATTCTCATTCTACGTGACTTTACCGAAAGAACCAAAGAAGATGAATCATTGCAGTCACGAAAGCTTTAAATCGAAATCTCTCTCTTTCTCTTTTACTCTGACATCCTGTCACTTAATAC